GCTCGTATTTATAGTTAGGTCTTATATTTAAGCCTTCCTTAAGTTTATCTTTAGATACTTTATAGCCAATAAAATACGTAGACTTAGGCAAAGTAACCAAAGAAAAGTGGCAAAGAAATTATTTGGAATTTTGCAACAGTAAATTTTCGATACCTGTACTCACACAGAAAGAACGGTTTCGTTGAAGTATTTAAAAATTTAACTAGATACACAGATCTAAATAATCAAGTAGAATGCTAGAATGTCAATCTTTCTTGCAACATTGCTTATTATATGAGTTTTCTACATAATTATTTGGATGGTCCAAAATTATTTTCAGATTCTGTATTTTATACTTAAATTTGAGATATTTCAGCAAAATCATTCGTTGCGTGCTGTGTCACACAACGAATAACATATCCTGCAATGATACTGGAATAGAAGTACCTACTAATTTACTATTTATAAAATTTTATATACAATACTAGAAATATTAAGAATATACTGCAAAATATAATCCTCGGATTAATTTATTTTACTACAGAGCGTCATTAAATTTAAATTTCAAGTTGTTTCTGAAACAGCGGACCTTTCTAAAAAGCAATATATGTGTATCTTAGATATCCAAATACTTTAATTCACGATGGAGAGAGAGCGATGCCGTACAACATCCGTTCCGTTTGAAAGGATTAAGAACGAAGTCATTTCTGCCGGTTCTCTCCATATCGATGATCGCGAGGATTTGTCCTGTCGAGAGTTGGCACTCGGAACGCGTCGTGCCATGCCACGAAGGAATAGCCTGAGCAATGAAAATTCAATGACGCGAGCAATTTGAGCTCGCGGCGAGCTCGCAAGCTGCAATCTGAAAGTATAAACGATAGTTGTGTGCTGCGCGCGCGCGCGCGCACAGGCTTTCTCTCTTTCTCTCCCTTTTCTTCCTCTCCTCTCATCTTCGTTGTATTCGCTTGGTGTTTCTTGCTCTCTCCATCTCTTTTCCCTCGTTGCTCTCGCGCTACCACAGAGAGCTCACATATACCGTATGGTCGCTCGGTGGTTGGCTCGCACAGAATAATCGCGTAATTTGCGTGTAACGATGCAATTTGTAGTTATGGCGACCCGGCTCTTTTTCCGTCTTCATTTTTTCCCCTCTCCGCTCTTCGTTTTTTGCTAGTACCGACGACAACGACATCGGCAACGACAGGACTAACGGCAGCGACAACGACGACGTCGAGCAACCAAGGAGCTTAAGCTTTAAAGACGAAAAGGGCTTGTAGATTTAGTACGAGCATGAATCGTCTTTGATCTCTCTTTGGTGAGCTTACTTTCTCATTTAGCATCGAAGAGAAGCCGGAGTCGCGATCGTTAGTTTAGGAGTCGCGATAATAACTTTAATCTTCATTACGATCATAATTTTGCGCATTATATATAAAACGAAAAGTAGGTACTTTGTACTCTGTACAAGTACAGGGATTAAAAGATTTTTAGATATAATTAATACGAACTTAATCACGTACATCGAGCAAGATATAGAAAAGAGTTGCTGAATGCATATCGGTCGTCTAAATCATAAACCTTACTCTTTATATTATTATAATTATTATTAACGTACGTTGAAATAAAACTGGCTTGAATGTATTAAATAATTAATCTTTTTTTTTCAATGATTATTAAAATTTGTTGTTAATTATTAATAATTGCATCCAATATTTATAGGTATATATATTTTATCAAAGTCTCTTAATCTGTTTCACTAGATTTGTAAGAGTGATCATTTGATCTCGATATCATGCGCCGAAAGACGCATTTGATGATTTATTCTTTACAGTTCACGGCGAAGACTCATGCTTTTCTTCTACGCGATTATTCGTGTTACCAATACCGCGTCCTCTATTTCGACGACGAGACGGATATCTCCGCAGAAAAAGATTCTTGCGCACGAGAGAATGAGAGTATTAGTAAACTCTCGCGATTGACTTACGGACCACGGCGGGCAAAACCACCTCTTTATCTCGATTCGAAAGTTCGTGCACAGCGGGCGTTCTGTTACGATATAAATTGCTGACTTAGCTGCGCTAACTATTTATCTATATACACGTCGTGCCATCGATCGTAATAGTCGACTTTGCTACACCTAAACCTCGATCCTCCCAGCAAAGTGTGCATATAATCCTTACGAAGTACGCGCGTTTTCTTACGTCGTCAAAGTTCCTATCCGCGCGGATTCCATCGCCATTTATTGTAATAATTTCGCGCGAATTTGTGATAGGGAAATTGCATCTAATTATTAATTAATTACGCATCCCATCGGAATTCAAGAAAATAATTTAAATCGTATATTAGGAATTATCAAGTGTCTATTATGGGCATCGGAATTCTTTCCGATGTAATATTTTAATGAATTTAATATCTAATAATTAAAACTGACATAAATATTTATTTATCTAATACTTTATATCGTTAACTTTTCTCCTAAATACAAGATTCCTATATGATGTAACTTCGAAGTACCTTTTTCGTAGCTATCATACAATACATCTTTATTAGGATAAACCTGTTAATGTAAACACCTTCCTTTTATAGATACCTTCGATTTCGTTTCGCCGATGTTTGCACGCAGGTGCGAGCGCGCATTCTATCCGGCAAGGGTCCGTTTTAATTAAAATCAACCGCATGGCCCCAATCACCTTTTAACCTCTGGTACCAGGCGCGCGCTGGCCGGCGCTGGTCTTGCTCACGTGCGTGTCCCACGTGCCTTTACGACGCGGAATTATTGCTCGCCTCGCTGTTTATTAAATTGAATTGTGTCGCACCGCGTCGTCACCCCGTGGCAGTGGCTCTTTATCGGACTCCTTTCTCCCCTGCCGCTCCATTACCACCAGCAATTAACTAACCGCTCATTAGGAAGCCGCGTGCACAACCATTCACGCGCCAATCAAAGAACGGCCGACCTGTCGGCTTGCCAGGATCATTATATTGCGCTGCGTTTCTCTTCACTGTCTGCAGTTTTCCACGAACAAAAAGATGACATCCTGTATACGGAAGACGTAAAATGATTAATAAATGTTTAAGAAAGATAAAATAAGAAATGTTATATTGCATGGAAAAAGAATAAATTGTTAAATAGTAAAAAAATCAATGTTGTTGCGTTAGATAATCTTTGCAGCATTTTAGCCAAAATTCTATCCCTCAATCTCAAATTTTTAACGAAAAGTTATTAAAAAATAAATCAGGTAAATATACACATTCAAATTATTTTAATACTTGGCTGACATCTAATTAATTGCATATTATATGAATTTATAAACAACATTATACTATTTAATTTGAGAAATGGATATAAAATCAATTCTTTCTTAACGATAATACGTGGTGGAAAGAATAATTTTGCTGAAGTATTTAAAAATTTACATAAATACATACAAATTTGGAAGTATAATTTTGTTGATTCATTAAAATAATTACGTGGGAATCTCAAGCATCTTACATAATTATTTTGATAACAAAATTATTTTCAGATCTCAAATAATCTCAAATTATAAAGATTTGAATTGTTAAAGAATAGATTATGTTAATATGCACATTCAAATTATTTAAATACTCGACCAAATCAATTAGACTGACATCTAATTGATTGAATATACTATGAATTTGTAAACAACATTAAACTATTTAATTTGAAAAATAATTTCAAACCAATTCTTTTTTAATAATAATTCGCTATAAATATCTAACTAAATTTTCAGATATTTTAGCAGAACCTCCTTTTCGTGTAGTTTAGAGAAAATCTTACTAAATTTTGCAATTCTGCATTTCGCGAAATTTTCGAGATCATCGATCGCATCAACTCCAGAATGATATCGGGATATAAATCCGGAATAATGCGGGGAAAACTCAAGGATCGCCTGTACCGCAGGGTAATGCGGCGAAGCAGAGAGAGAGAGAGAGAGAGAGAGTAGAGAGAGAGAGAGAGAGAGAGAGAGAGAGAGAGAGAGAGAGAGAGAGAGAGCGCAGAGTACTCGATCTCAGCAGGACGGCTACTAATAGGATTTTCGTGATCAAGTCCGTCGGCACTTTCGACTCGGCTGGCTCCTCATTCCTATAAGGAGGCAGCCAAGTATCTGTCTATATGAAGCGTCGCGCGTGTGTGCGGCCACCATTGTGCCAGATCGTGCATCCACCGTAACTTAGATCCGCGCTCCCTACGTTGACCTCAAGGTGCATCGGTCTCGTTGCAACGTGCATGTTACAGAATTTGCGTAATCACGTATCATCGGTCCAAGCCTCCCCATCGTTCTCCATCCACCTTTCTGTTCTCCTCTCCTCGTTCCCTCTGCTCGCGCTACGCAATCTTGTCGTTCCACACGTGCACGTTTACGTGGTACGTACGTGCGCCGAGAGATGTATCCAATAAACAAGAGAAACTTACCATACCGTTCCATAAGCATTAGTCCCGTCACGTTTATGGTCGCTCGTACACGCTCTATCAATAAGAATCTGCGTATCCGTCTACGTACTCGGATGGATCTTGATTTCAGCACGTGGTAGCTAATCGCTTATCTTTTATGTGTCGATCGTGCACTTTTCAAGTACCGACCGTGCTGTCTTTCGTCATTACATGTATTGTATGTTCACGCGTGAATTAACGCGAACATAGGGAAATATATTTTTGCTGTCGACAAATAGTTAATGTTTTTATGCTAGGAGATTGGTCTCGTGAGATATCTAATCGTACATGACATTAATGGAGAAAGTACGATTGATGTATTAAAATCTAAATTGGCTGTAGAGAGAATTTACAAGAGGAAATAGATTTTTTGTAATGAGGACATTTCAATAAGAATTCGTTCCGCGACAGCGAATAAGAGAAATATTCACATATAAATTATCATTAAGAAGTACGATAGTGCCTTGAGTATTAAAAAACGGAAGACTAATATTTTTAAGTAGATTTAGGAGTGTTTAAATATATGATTGAAATTGAATTTAAATTTTAATATATTTTTCGTTCTTTTTTTTTCCAGGATGCAAGAGTTTCTTCAAGAGGAGTGTGAGGCGAAATCTAACGTACTCGTGTCGAGGGAGTAGAACTTGTCCGATCGACCAACACCATAGAAACCAGTGCCAGTTTTGCCGCTTGAAAAAGTGCCTGAAGATGGGCATGCGCCGGGAAGGTATGCACTGTACTGAACCCTTTCTACGAATTTATTAGCGATTGATCTCCACTGGTGATTACATCGAGATCGCTGAAATGTATTGACGGCAATACTCGAAATTCTCAAAGAAAAATATTACAAGTTTCAATTTTTTTTTTAATTTCAGAAATATATTAATTAAATTGTTTGTTCAATAAAAAGTGTTTTAATACGATACTTTTATTATTTAACATATTATTTATAACTTTTATATTTTAATGTATTTTCAAAATAAATTTTTGTTCTTTTATCGAAATTAAAATCTGGCATAATAAAATTATATTAAATATTAAAATAAAAAAGTTAAACATATAGAAACAATATTAAAGACAAAATATGGAATATAGAAAATTAGGGGCTTGCGATATTTTTTTCTTGAGATCTTCTGTAGCGCGCTTTTTGCAATGAAAACACTAAAAGTCATGGTCAAACGATGTTTCTCTGATATATGAAATGAATCTTGAATGGATGTTGAAAATAGCACAACCTTTTGTACTTATACACGCGTTAAGGTCAAAGTGCACGAAAATATCTCTTTGTTCGCCGTACTGTTTTCTGGAAATAAATATTTTGTGATTCAATTTAAAGCAAGTATTATTGAAGGGAACATTTATATTAAATTCGATTTTATTTTATATTATTATTCAAGGAACGATGTCTTTTATGACTATTATCCATTAGGAAATTCCTTATTTCATTGTAATATTCGGAGAAATATTGTCAACAAAGTATCGATCCGATGATACATTCGCGACTCGCTGTGATCACCCGTTAAACTCTCCGTCACACGGTCCGCATATCGAGCTCCCATTTCTGATTCTTAATAATATGATCGAGCTGTGGAATTTCTGAATTATATATATTACATATAATAATGGGCAACACAATTTAAATATCTGGAATTACATATTATTGCATATTATACACTTATTTTAGGTGATAATTACAAGATATCCTCAAGTCTGATCCAGAGGAATTTTCAATTGCGATATAATTTTAATATTTAATTTAATATTATATTACACTTTAAATATTAAATTTATAATACTATAATTTTAATATTTAATTTAATAATATATTATGCATGTTATTATCTATATACACAGGATCATTTCTACGAACATGCGGTTAGTTACTTTTGTTACAAGTTTACTGATTATATACGAATGTTAGATATATTCGCGACTATTAGATCTCCAAATTAGCTTAGTGATTCTGAATATATATATACGTGTTTTATTTCGGAAATGTCTACACCTGAGGACGTCATGTTTGGAAACTTGGCTTTCGGCGCGCTTTGCCGTGGCAGGAACTTTTAATTGCAGCCTGTGGAAAGGCCGGAAAGGTTCCCACGCCTTATCCCCGCCCGTGATTCCACGTTCCTCCGCTCTTGAACTTGGCTACTCGCGCCGCGCGCGATAACATCTGACCTTGTTCCGCCGCGCGCACGAGGAGAAGAGGAACGCGCTCTCTCGCTGGTCATCGGCTCTCTCGGCCTGCCCAGGTGTACAACCACTTCCGTCCGAGACGTGGCTGTCCGTCTGCCCCGGAGCGTGCTCGCGCCGCGCCGCGATCGTAAACCCGGTAAATCACGCGTTTTTACGCGTATCAGCCGCACGCGTCGACTTGCATGGATATCGACGGGAAACTCGAACAGAAATCGACGATTCTGTGACGCCAAGAAAAAATATACGAGACATAGGGTAACTGTGCCTATATTATTAATGTGCCTTTTAGCCAACTTGCTTATTATCGAATTAATTATTAAATATTGTAGCTTTAATTTTATCTGCTTGCAATCAATATCGGTTTTTCTACTATTTCTTTTTCTTATAATATTTCTTTAATCTAAAATGTTAATACTTTGTAATGGTTTTGACAAAAATAAAAAACATTTTTGTCCCTATTAGTGAGTCCTCCAAGCGGCGATGGCCCTATTAATGTGCTCCCAATTTGTGTGCCTATCCACATTTGACTCATTTTAACATATAATTACTAAAACAAGTAATAAATTTAAGCTAATTGTTTAAGTTAATATTACATAAATCATTCTTTCAATTATATTTATTTCAATGTACACTTTATAACACAACGTTCTCAGCACCAATACAGGGCACATTAATAGGGACAAGCTTAAAATCTTGTGGTACGTATTACTAGATTCACATAAATTTCTCATATTTTTTGAAAAATATTTAAAATACTTTAATACTCAAAAAATAAAATATTATCTTCGGTATCGTATGCATTAATAATTTAACTTAACAAGAAAAAATATTTTTTCTTATTTATTCGTGCTAGGTTTCTTTATGACTTATCGAAATACAAAAACACACTAATACAAACAGGCACAGTAATTGGGACAGTTAACCCTAGCAAGATTACAAGCAAGAAGTTGAATTGATTTGTTAGCTTTCCAACTCTAGTATTAATTGAAGTCTCACCTTTCTGTGCACTTTTAGAATAAAGTCATTAGAACAGCACATTATATTAACACTTATAGAACCAATAATGGTACCATTTTGACTCTACTAATCAATTTTTTCTTTATTTTTTGTATTAGATATGCAGTACAAAATATTATGCAGTGTGAATATAATAAAGATAATTCTAACGATACACAAATAATATCAAAATAACTTTTCACTAACCGAAAACAAGGATAGGAAATTATCAAATCGGCACCTTCAGCAGTCTTAATGGGGTACCATCGACAGTTCTAGTGTTTATTGACCAATCGGAAGAAAGAATTTTACGAACTGACCAATCAAAAAATGCTTTGACACATTTGTAGCATCAAGTGGACCATAGCCTTAATGGGGTACCATCGACAGTTCTAGTGTTAACAATAATAAAAAGACAAAAGGTTGTTAAAATAATACAGGAAATACATATTATTTCCCATATTTGTTTTGAATGTTGCTGTCATTTTAATCTCGTTTCACATTATGCTCTCAAGATAGATCTATTTATTGATTGCAAGACTTTATATTTCGAGATTACTTTACTTCTATTTTGCGAGCAGATTTTAGGATATCTACAGAATCAAAATCTTGATGATGTAATCTCTATATGAAAGGCAAATGCAAGCTTGCTTTATTTTTAAAACCGTAATTCCTTAAGTCGCTTAAATAATTTCTCACTACTATTTTTCATTACAAATTATCGAAGTCTTGAAACCGGAACAACTGTCCTTCATTTTGATCTGGCCTCTTTCATATACGAATCGCAGAAAGCGCATGACTTCCTAAAGGCACATTCTCGAATATCGTGAGGCACGTTGTACTTCACGAAAGAGAAGCTCGCGCATGATTATTCGCACGAGAGCAGGCAACTCTTCTGTCCGCGGCACAGTTTTTCCCACAGGAACGTAGGCACGAGAAGCGCAGTAAAGACGTCGCATTTTCTGTCCTGTCAAAGCGACATCCGCTTATTATCCGCGATGATGCCCCAGTCTTTGATAATAATTCGAGTCGCTCGCGAGTGCGGGGCACGTAACTCTGTGTACACTCACCTGGTCTCTGCCATATACGTTCGCACGAAAGATTCAGGAGAAGGAAAGAGGGAAAGAAAAAGAGTAGAGAAAGAGGACGAAAGAAGCAGAAGAAGACGAAGAAGTAGAAGACGAAGAAGAGGGCGAAGAAAAGAAAAGTGCATGAAGGGCCAAGGGCCGCGGAGGGAAAGGATGACGAGGGCAAGAGGGGGTTACCGGTACCCCCGGCAGGAGCGGCAGCAGCAGCAGCAGCAACGGCAACAGCAACAGCAGCAACGGGAGGAGGCAGAAGAGGCGAGAGGTCGTGGATGATGGAGGGGAGAGGGTTGAAGGCGCGCGAGGAGAGAAGGAACGAGGAGGAGTGACGGAGCAACGAGAGGAGGGGCGGGAAAGAGGGAAGAGGACTAGAGAGAAAGAGAGAGAGAGAGAGAAGGGAGGGAAGAGACGATGGTCCGAGGTCAGCGGGGTGCATGACCTTACCTCGGGGCCCCTTCCTTCCGTGGGGCCCTCGAGGCAGACAGGATGCGCTGAAGATTACCCCGTAGATACTGTCCGCGATGATTACAGAAATCTAGGAAGCCGCTCAATTTAATTAACCCTTAATTGCGAGCGCTTGGGACGGGATGGTGCGTTTACTCCAGTACCTTGGCGCTTTTCCCCCGTCCCTTGTCTATTCGAGGATGATGATGATGATGATGATGATGATGATGATGATGATGATGATGGTGGGGTGGTGGTGATGGTGGTAGTGGTGGTGGTGGCGGAGGTTGTTCCCCGCGTGTACGAACGCGCGACGATGCGTGAGTTATCGCTCCGCGAAACGAAGTGCACTTTCTTTCAAAGATGAATGTTGGACGGAAGGAACGTAGACTATGTAGTACGGTTGCGTTGCAGATCCTGTCTGGGGATGGATTGTTAGACCATTAAATCTAGTATCATAATTTCTGGGGTAAAAGATGATGATTTTTCTAAACGTTATTAAACACGTATACTATTACATTTAAGAGTCATTATGTTATTATGCATATTACAATTTGATATTTATACGAACAATATTTTATTTGCACGAGAAACATAGACTTATCTATCTATTTATAAAAAAATAATTATTAACTTTTCGGTGCCACTCTTATTATAACATACCCGAAATTTCTTTTACTTTATATGTCATAAAGAGTAATAGTTATTTATTGATAAAGATACATACATTTGCTTGTTACCATTATATTCTTCTAGTATGAATCAGTCGCAGGTAACGCGATAAGGAATTCACAAAAAAATATTGAAATATAAATGTTCTAATATTTTTTATAAATTTCCATCACATGCAATAGATATGGCCTTTAATATTTTTCCGTACAGTTAATAAGAGTAGTTTCTTATACATCTAAATTGTTCTATGTATTTTATCTATTTTATTTTGATGACGGTCAGGATTTTTTAGAAATCATCTTTATTGTACAAAAAAAGCGTCTTATTAGTCAGT